GGGAGCTCGGTAGGGGCCGATGTGAGCAACTGTCTACGGCGTGATTACCGGGTGTAACCGTTGGTCCCGAGATTACCGGGTGTAACCGACGGTCCCGAGATTACCGGGTGTAACCATCGCGAGATTAGCGGGACTACCACCCATAAGTAGAGGACCTCACTCCCCGATCCGGTACGATGATTTCTGGCTTCGAACTAAACTTGGAATCCGACCTGTACTGACTTGATCGTCGGAGTGCTCACCTTTTTGTGCAGGTCTGCCCAAAGGTTCAGGTCGGTACGGAGGCCGAGTTCGAGCTACAATCAGGAACACTGTTGTGCACATCTTTGCAGAAACATATGAGATTAGGGAATCAGGGATGTCAAAAAAACCACGGATCTGATCCCTGCGAGTACTCAATCCGATTGAGTTGGGGAATCCTCAGTTTAATCGGGGACGAGGTCAAACCGGGGATCCTAATCGAAGTCTCCACCGGGAACAGGACGGGGTGTGGATTCGAATTCACCAACCAAATGGTTGGAGATATGTACCTGCTGTGCTCGCTATACTCACTTTTGGCAGATAAAATTATTATATATTATTTATCATATAATTATTAATTATATCATATATTTAAATTATAATAGATATTAACAAATAATAATTAAACATATAAATAAACTAAGGCGACGGCTTTTCAGTTGAATAAGTTTTCAACTTCTAACTATATTATTTGATAACATTGTCTATATTATAAGTTGAACTAAATTATTTTTGGACATTTTATTTCACTTACATATTTCTAAGAAATTAAAAGCACAACCCAATTTGAGTTGGAGTTATATAAATATTGGTAAAGTCATGTAAATGGAAAAGTTTTTGATTTATAGATACATTTGTTCAACTCAAATTTTAAGAAAATACATATTATTTTCAACTGAATCTATAAGATACTTCTTATTATTGATTGAAAAAACATAATACATATAAAAGAAGGAAATTTATCAAAAAATGAAATAAGAAATGATAAATTAAGTAATTAACGTAGGCAGCGCAAAAATAGCACAAACAAAAAACTTAATATAAATTTGAAAAAGTAACCACCGGTTTTCAATTTTTTAAAAATAGCAAAATTTAGAAGTTCAACATGGGTTAAAAAAACATATCCAATATACTTTTAACACGGTGCCCAAACAATAATATATCTTATATATATACCTAATTTGATATATCTAATTCAGTATATCATTAATATATTCGATTATGAGTGTTGATATACTAATGAAATATCTTATATGAATGTTGATAGACCAATAATACACCTGATATAATATTTATCTTACTTATCTTTATTAGGTTTAGTTTCTCTTATTAAATTGTACGACGATATTTACAGATTTTAGATGAAATGTCTGTATTTTGTAACTTAAATATCTATTTTCTATACATGATATGAATGTCAGTATAATTTGATGTACGATAACTATTTATATACCCGTTTTAATATATCATTGATGTATGAAAATCTAGAACGGTAAAATCGAAATAATTAACCAATCGAAAATCAAATTTCAAATATTTTACGAGACTTAAAAATTGTTATATTTATAAATACGACAAACATTTTGGCATACCCATTATAAATCTCCAATTAATAATTCAAATCAATATCAATATCAATAGAACTTTCAAGATTTGAATTATAACAAAATGCCACTTGCAGGTCGCATCATCTCACCCTTTCAATGTCACAAACATAATTGTCACCAATTAGATAAAACTCCCAATTAGATACAAATATGGATAACTATAAATTAAAAAATATATATGGACTTATCCATTTTCAATTTTTAAAAAATAAAGTGCTTATAAAAATATTGATGAAATCTGACATAATTTATTAAATTATATAGAAAGGTACAACAAAATGGAGAAATAACTATTTCTAATAAACTTGTTTCACTCTGTAGTATAATACAGACTCAATTTTACACCTTTTTTTTTTTGTTATAATTTACAAATATCATTAAGAAAAAGAGAAAAAAAGAAAAAAGAACTTCGCTTCAATCAGAAACAACATATACATTATACACAACACAACATCTTTGAAAATCATTTGGCTTGTTGATCATCACATTCACTCTTCAGCTGTCTCTCTATCCTTGAATTTCCCAAAGCACATCTTTCTTCCAACCAAGCAATTATGCCTGCAAATACAACATCAATGTTTTCAAGTGTCTCTCCATACAGCAATCCATGCCACATCTCTGGATATGTCTTCAAGCTCTTGTCCCAGCTCGACGCCTTCTCATAGAGTTGCTCGCTCACCGATATATCCGTTACTCGATCCACCTCCCCATGGAGAATTATGAATGGAAACGAGACCTGTTCGATCAAAATATGTCGTCCCTTTAAACTATCACTAAACTCAAAAGCTTAACAAATTAGTTCAAACAACACAATGAAAAACGGCGAACCTCTTCGAGTCTTTGCTCAAGATCTGAACTGATCTTGAGAAGTTGATGGCCAGTGTTCAAGCGAGGCCTCCCTTTGTAGCAGTAAGGATTAGTTCTGATCTGTTTATGACATCACATCAATTGATTAACATGGCTGAACTCTAATGAACACTTTTTCATTTTTCTTCTCAAAACAGGAGATTGCATTACCTGATGTCTAATCTCAGGAACTTTGAAAGCAACATCAATGATATCTTGGGTTGGAATTATTTTCCATGTGGGTATAAAATTGCAGAGCTTTGTGAGTATATTTACCACTATTGGGTTTGGTTTTACATCGTCTGCAATCTGTCCAAAAACGGGAGTTTTAAGCTTTAAAGTTAAGAAACAATCATCACTGTTAACACATCCAAATTCCCAAATATAAATTCAACTCAATTTAAGGGAGAGAAATTGGCATACCTTACACATGGGTGCAACCAAGACAGCACCATCCCAATAATCTGGTTTCTTTCTGTGCAACAACAGAGCCACTGCCCCTCCCATCGACTCCCCTAACAGATACCTCATTTTCCCCTTATTCTGTTTCCTTTCTGCGAACCCAAAAACATTTTTTTAATGAAACCCCTCAAAAAATTTTCAATCAACTACAAGAAAAATAGAATCTTTGGCACAAACAGATAGGTTAGAGACCAGAAATGGATGTGAAGTGATTGGAGCAATCATCCACCACATGATCAAAACTTGTAATATAGCCTTGCAAGCCGTCTGATTTCCCATGGCCTTCGTAATCAACCCCATAAATTGCAAAACCTGCCTTTGCAAGCCGAATTGCTGTGCCTATAATCCCATCGTGCAATTTAGTCTCCAATTTTTGGAATATTATTTCAGGTGGCAGGAGATGAAATTTGCATAAAGTTTTTACTTTTCATGGTGATACTGCATTCCATTGCATAGCCATGGCAGATGAAGATCAAGCCCTTTGGTTCCTGATTTGTTGGAAGCCATTGGCACGTGAAAAGCTTCAACCCACGTGAGTTCAATACATACTCCTGAAAAATCATAAAGAAACCAAACCAAACCAATTCAGGAAAAGTAATTTACATGTAAAGCCTATAAATCTTGAGGAAAACCTCTTCATAGGAGACATCCTGTGTTTCAGAAGCCTGTAATTAACACATTCAAACAAAACAAGTCAGAGAGAGAGAGAGCAGAGAGCAAAAAGTAGAGTAAAGCAGAGAGAGAGAGGGCCATGGAGAGAGGAATTGGGAAAGCCGAGGCAGAGGATTTTTGTGGAGAAGGTTGAGAAAAGTGCAACTGAGTTGAAAAGCGAATAGGATTGGGATTTTTAAAGGGTTGAAGAAGAGAAAATTGGAGTGTGGTTTGAGAAAGTGAGAGTGAAAAAGCTTTTAATTTAATGCTTCGAAGATTCAAACAAAGAGGGGCGACTGCTTAATTCTGCATGTCAAGTTGCATCGTTGGACTTCCTTTTGATCCCACACGGCGGATCCCTCTAAATAAAGCCAAATTGTCTGTGAACTCAGATTTTAGCCTTTTTTAGCTTTTTGTTTCTTGTGATAACTTTGAAATGATTTTGACTTATCATCCACAGCCATTACTCAAATTAAGACTTACCAATATGCTTTAAGCTTTAACCACACAGCAATTTTATGAGTAAATTCTATACCTTTTAAGCTCCCTTTCATCCGTTTGAGGGCGGGGTGAGATAAGAATTCAAACTTATAATTTTTTAGTTAGAGATATGTGTCAATTACTGTTAAACTAAGTTCATGTTAGTATAGTAATGTCACTCGAAAAGGTTGCTTCATGCTAGACGTCTGAACCTACTACCCCAAACCTTATTCCCAGCACACTACCTATATCTATTAAGTCTTCGTCTCACTTCATCCTACGAATTATACTAGATATAAAGACATTCTATAACAATCCAACGACTTGATAAAAGCAAGAAAATGATAGTGATTGGTTTGGGAGCATCATGAGAATTTACATGTATGATAAATGTAGTTAGGTATTTGTAGGGATTATAATTTTCTTTGTTGGGACAGGTTAAGGCTTATGGGGACCGTTTAATAGGTAGTAGGTTAAGGACATAGAAATTTGATTCCTTTTAACTTAATTATCGATGAGTCGATCCCAAAATTAATATAAATTCAAAATTAGGAATTGTTTTAGTGTAACAAACAAATAAATAAATTTTTGTCAAAAAAAAAATTAGTGAAGCTTTGATAATGATCTAATATAGATGAGTCCTCGTCTCAAAAATAGAGTTGTAATATTAGTCCTAATCGGTCTAATATAGATGTTATTGATTTTAGCTATTGCAATATCATGACGTCAGCAGATACAATCTTGAAACAAACATAGAATATTTTAAACTCAATTAATGAAGTATATTTTCACGAAACATCATCATTTCGTACATTACTTTTAATATTAGTGAAAGTAAAGACTTAATTAAAAAAAATTGAATACACTATTTTTTAGTACAATATGTGGAGGGGAGGAATTGAACTCACAATCTGTCGATTGGAGATATATGCCAATTACCGCTGAATTATGTTTGTTTTGGCAAAAATTTGATGATATATATTTAGCACGATAGATGTCAATATTTGTAGGGATTAAAATGATGTATTATTCAAAAAAATTTGATTACATATAAATATTCAAACGCTAATATATATTGTGTAAGTATATACATGTATGTATTTGTAGGGATTACAATTTTCTTTGTTGGGGCAGGTAGTTAAAGGCCTATGAGGACCACTATTTAATTGGGAATAGGTCAAGAACAGAGAAGTTTGTTTCCTTTAACTTAATTCTGGATGAGTCAATCCCAAAATTAATATAAACACAAAATTAGGAATAGTGTAACAAACAAATAAATAAATTAGTGAGGATATTTCGGTTAAAATTCTCAAGTTAAATGATTTAATTTGAGTTTCATGGTGCTATTTGAAGTATCTAGATAATAATTTAGTTTCTAAACTTTAGAAGGTAACAATTTAGTTTTAAAGTTTGTAATGATTTAATCTCTATCCTAATTTTTTTTTTGTTAAACGTCTTATATAGGTAGGTTAATAAACCAATAAGGGACAAAATGTATTTATAAATTACAAATATTAAATCATTATACGAAAAAAAATCGACCCCAAATTTTGTGAGAATTTTCACTATATGGACTCAATTGTTATAAATTTTAGACTATGGAGACTAAATTGTTACGTGCTAAAGTTTAGGAACTAAATTATTACAAATGTGAAAGTAAATGAACTAAATCAATACAAACTATAGTTTAGAGACTTTTAGCAAAAATAATGGGACCAGACGTAAAAATAGTCATTTAAAATCACTTTAGTAAGTCATACTAAAACACACTCTAAAGTATTAACTTTTTCATAAGTGCTAAGAAAATAACATTTGTTGGTAAATAAAAAATGATTTAATACTCTTAAACTTTCGTAAAGTTCATTTTGGTCATTGTATTTTTAGAAAATAATTAATTTGCTCTATTTACAAAATTTTAACACAATTATTATATACAATGATAGTCTTTTAATTCAAATTTATGAATAAATTTCAAGAAATTTAGTAACTGAAATGCCATGCTAAAATCATAATCAAAATAAATGATATAAAAATAAAAATGAATGAACAAAAGTAGTCACTTTTTAATAGAGCATAGACTAAAAATAGATGTTTCGAAAGTATAAAACTACCCTAAAAATAAGCTGAAGTATAGATTGAAGGTGGAAATGAAAAATTCGAAAGAATATAAACTCAAATAAACTAAAATTAAAAGTAATAAGCTAAAATAGTATTTCAAATAAAAAAGAATATTAAAAGAAAAAGGCATCCCAAATATACCATAAATTAAAGAGAGGAGAAGTCAACTAGGTTAGATGAGTATGAAGCTGGGCCGGAAGACAGAAAATGGGCCGGAACACAATGGCGAGGAAGACCACAAAGGCTCTTTGTAAAGTAAGAGAATAAAGGTAGGAATTAGTACATTGATGGACTATTTAAAGATTCTAATTGGAATGTATAGAATTTACACATTTGTCATGTATCAACCCTATTTAAGGATATTCATCGTATAAATTACTTAAATAGCCTCTTGTATTTACAAATTAATTTTAAATTCATTTTAATATGCAAAATTGATTAATTGAAAGGTTATAATTTAGATTCCATAATTTATACTTTCCAAAACAAATTAAAACACCAAAACATTAAAAACAAAACCCTAAATTCCCCAAAATTGAAATCATAACCTCCCAAAATATCTCCAAATCCCGTCCAAAAATCTCCCAAATTTGAAATCTAAGAATTTTTTTTGCTTCATCCATGAGACGTTTAAAACTTTAGTTTTGGAGGACCCTTTCTACATTACTATAGGATATATGCGTTTATATCTTGTATACAACTATAAGATATATACACATATACAATATATACCTATATATACGAATATAATGGAGAATACTAAGAATATGAGACATTTAGAACTTCAATTTTCTATACACATAAACAAAATATATCCCCATATATACCAATCTTAACGGAAGACTAATAATTACAAATGGTTTGGAGGACCATTTCTACATAACTATAAGATATATGTATACACACATAAGATATATTCACATATACAATATATACCTATATATACGAATATAATCAGGAATACTAAGACAGTGGGACGTTTAGAACTTCCATTTTCTGTACACATACATAAAATATATCCCCATATATACCAATCTTACCGGAAGACTAATAAGTATCAATCTTAAAGCATTGGTGTGATGTGCTAGACGTGTGAGTAGGATCCCTGACATTGTGAGAAGTCTGGTTGTGGTTATTATGGTCTAGTCGTAGGAATATTGGGTCTTCCTTAATGTGAAGGTTGTTGTGACAAGCAGGATGGGTCATTGTGATTTGGAACCCTTGTTGGAAGCGAGGGGTGGGTTCGTCGGTGTTGTTTGGATCGGGTAGGATGTTGAATGAGGGTTAAGCCCCGTGAGTAAAGAGTCGGGGTCTGATACGTCTCTATGGGGTGTCGAGGCTTCGGGTACAAAAGATCGGGGGTCGATACACCATTTTTGGTTGAGATGAGTGTCGAGGCTCCGGGTACAAAGGGTTGGGGGTCGGCACGATGAGTCTAATTGAGACTAGCCTTGATTTTTTTTTTCTTTTTTTTATGGGGTGGAGGCCAAGGAACCAATACGTTGAGCAGATGTCGGTACCTTGGGAATAAATGTCAAGGACCGGTGCATAACCCAAGACCTTGGGAATAAATAGCAAGGTCGAATGCCAAGCTTCTATGGAGGGTTATCGGTACCTTGGGGATAAATGTCAAGGACCGACGCGCCTCGAAGGGTTAGCGTTAGAGTACTAACTCAGGGTTTAGTACGAGTTGAATGTTGAAAGGGTTAAAAGCTAGCGGGTCGTGCAAATCAAAGCCACGAGAGTTCTGAAGTTGGTTCGAGTGTCGAGAGGTCACTTTACTGTTATTAACTCTTGATGCTTATTACTTAGATTGTTGAGTATGACGCCGATGTGATTGTGAGTATGCTGTTTGGTTTCTGTTTGGTAAGGGCTACTTACGGAGTATATTATATATTCACCCCCCCTCTATGTTGTTGCTTTCAGGTGTGAACAGGACCCTCGGCCGTGGTGATGACGTGGAGAAGGCTTGACCGGGGAGGGACCACTAGTTATGTTTTGTTTAGGATAGTTGGACTGGGATTTCCTTGCCCTTCGCATTAGAAACTTAGTGCCAGCGGTGTTAGAGTTTGTTGACTCACGGGGCGTTGTTTTTTGTTTTTGTTTGTTTTTGTTCTTTTCTTTTTACTTCATACTTGTTCTTTACCGAGCTGTTAGCTGCCCGGATTCATTATTATTATTTAAAACCAGGTTGAGTTGTTGAATTGTGGAAGCAGATAATTGTAACTTTCTTTAATTGGTTTTAGCCACCGAGGCAAATTGCGGGTTTTCTAGGATCCGGTCCTTTTCTTTATTTGCGGTTGCTAGCCATTGAGGCCAATCTAAGTTTCCAGGTGTTCTTTTGTTGTCACTGAAACCCCACAGGTTTTCCTCCATCTTATGTTCCATTAATGAAAAGAAAAAAAGGGTGATTAGCTATGGCAACAATACCCCATTCCTTGTAGAGTTTTTGGGGACGTTACAAAATCTCCGACATTCAAGTCAGTAAACAGCTCGGACTCAATATTAAGTTCGAGGAGAAAATCGATCCCTGATGGTGAAATGAGGCCCTCTATTTATAGGTTTAGGTCCCGACAGGGGTCACGACAGGCGGTCACCCTGGTCGGTTTTGAGGTCGGACGTGTCGGGTTCGAGTAGATCGAACTCAGAAACTTTCGAGG